CTTGTCGATCTTGTTGATCGCGACGATGATCGGCACCTCGGCTGCCTTGGCATGGGCGATAGCCTCCCGTGTCTGGGGCATGACGCCGTCGTCTGCAGCCACAACCTGGGCTCTTGTTCAGGGGTTTAGGGTTTAAGGTTTAGACTTAAGTTACCACAACAGGGATCGATAGCATGTCTTTAGATTCCGCCTTGTGGTAACTTTTAACCCTTTTTCCGTAACAAGAACCGAGCAACCAGCACCGCGATGTCTGTCACCTGCGCTCCTCTCGCACGCATGGCCGTGAACGCCTCATGGCCAGGCGTGTCGATAAAGGTAATCTTCTGCCCGTCCAACTCCACCTAGCCGTGCTTTTGCAAGGCATTAAGAAACCGGGTTCTTGTTGAGGAATTCAATTTTAAGTTACCATAATGGAGATCTACAGTAAATAATGGGTTTTCTATACTCTGGTAACTTATTTAAGGAGTCTCATCTAAGTTGCCACAATAGGGATCTGTAGTAAATAACAGGCTTTCTTTATTTTGGCAACCTAAAATAACTCCCTTAACAGGAGCCCAGGAAATGCGGTGCTTTCCACAGAGGTTCAAAACTCAGGAAGCCCTAAACCCTAAACCCTGAACCCTAAACAATCTAAGTCTGAGCCACGGTGTAAGCTCCGATCCTCTGGGTGATGCCGCCTGCCTCCGAGGCAGCCACACTCCGCTTCCGGAGGGTATCCTGGGTTCTTCTTGAGGGAGTTAATTTGAAGTTACCATAACAAAGAAACCCTACGAATCTTTTTTACTATAGTCTATAGGTCCCTATTCTGGCAGCTGAAACGATTCAACTATTTTCCTTTGCAAGAGCCCAGTATCGAGGAGGGTGGTCTTCCCGTGATCCACATGCCCCATGACAGTCACCACCGGTGGCCGGGACTCCGTCTCACCCTGGTGCTCTTCTGCGAGGAATCCTCGGTCTCCCGCTGTGGTGGTCTTCTCATCATCGAAGATGTACTCGAGCTCGTACATGTCGCAGACCTCTGCGATCAGCTCCTTTTCCAGGAAGTCGTTGATGGTCAGGGGCTTGCCCTTCTCTGCAAAGAAGTAGGTGATAATCCCGGCAACGGGCTTTCTGATCCTTGGTCAAAGCCCTTTTAGATTTTGAGCTTAGCTTCAACCCCAAACGATCCCAACAAAACTGTGACCACCAGAATTGATGCCGAAACTTCTAGCTCTCTTAATAACTCGTCTCCCCTCTCCTCTTCAGCAGGAGCGCTTTTCTGCGAGCTCGCCCACTGTCATACCCTCCACAGGCATAATGAGGTCCTCTACTTCAAGCTCGGCCACTTCCTCCTGCTTCTGCTTGCCCTTCTTGCCCTTCTTGGCATATCTGCGCACCCGCGTCCGGGCCGTGCGCTCGCGGCACTGCCCAAAAGCTCCGAGCGCAGTGCCCAGCGCCACGGCGCCCAGCTGAGGCGCGGAGGGCCGAGCGCTGGACGAGGAGGCCGCGGAGCGAGAGCCCTGGGCCACGGGGACCACGGGGGCCCGCGCCAGAACCGTGGGTTGGAGCTGCAAAGCCATGGCTTCGGCCCCGGCCTGGCCTTTGGCCTCTCTTCCCTGGGGGCCCCTACGCTGAGAGGTGGCAGAAGCGAAGAAGCGACTGACGAGACTGCAATGAGAGGTGGTATGACACATGAGATCAGGGGCGAAGATGCTGATATCATAGGCCACAAGCACTATGTCCTGATAGCACGGTCACTGATTCCTACAGCTGAAGACGACTAAAAGCACTGCTTGTCGTCGTCGCGTTCTGGAAATGATGGTAATTTTGGTGGTGCTGCTAGCGACGGTCGTATAGACAATCCCAAGAATGCTAAACTGATGGTTGAGGTGGAACACAATAACCATGATGCTCGCGAGTGCTGCCAACGAGCTCACAATGATGAGCTACACATCTCGGAGCGACTGCAACAGCATCAGACACCCTCATCAACACCATCACAGCCACGAGAGTATCCATAATCGCCACGACCATAAGACATACAAAAAAATGTCGCAGGCGAAACCGCTAGCTCTCTTGCTGTACTCTAAGACCGAACACTACACCCTGCCGTACAGAGGGCGTATCAAAAGCACAGGCCGCGACTCGGACGACGGCATCGGCCTCAGCCAGTACTCGCACAGCTCCACGTTGCAACCATGCAAGGAAACGAACGTTTATAGCGGGTTTAGGGTTTTTTTGGGCTTAGGGTGTTGGGGTTGAGGTGAAAGCCAGTCTAGCCGCGATGGTGGCGGCAACATTGATGCTGACACTAGACCTGTGACTTGACAGCTTCACCACCCTCAGTCGACTAATCGCCGCTGGTGGTATCTTTATGTTCACTTGTCAGGCGCCTGTGATGACTTGCCACTACTGTACTGCAATCACGATCGTGTCAAAGTCCTGTTCAGCAAATTGGAAGTCGCAGAGCCGCCCTCGTCGTCGTGGTTTTCGGGTCAAGGTTTCGGGTCCGGGCACTGATGGTTGTTACAGCAGCATGCTTCGCATTGAGGGGAGGGGTTTCGATCTCCAAGATACGATCCCTCACTCTCAACACACGGAACAGCAATGCCAAAGCACTGAACCATAAACCCGAGATCCCTTAGCGTGAATCCAACGCCCCATAACAAAAAAAACACTAACATCCTGGAAGCTACACAACTAACCCTAGACGCCCTAAACCCTGAAACCTGCAGCTGCTGTTTCGGTGCCCTGGGATTCCGACGCCTCCCGTTGCTATCCTCAGCTCTGGATGGATCTTACTGGGGAGTTCCTGCAACCAGGTGTCCTTTCCCAGACCGCGTTTTCGGAAGTTGGGTTTAGGGTTTAGGGTTTAGGGGTTTAGGTGAAGAATTCAGGGTGTAGGGTGTAGGGTCTAGGGCTTCACATATGGGCTTACTGTTTGGGGTCTATCTTGGGATTGCAAGGGGACGGGCCAGAAGTGTGGAGGTGGGGCTGCTGGGCTCTGGGTATCGGAGCTTAGTGGGATCGTATGAAAGCACCCTCAAGAACTAGAACAACAAATAGTTTGGGTGAATTACAGTATTCTGTACGTAAAGGAATATTCAAACCTCTGTATTACCCTGAAACTCAGAATCCGAATCTGCCTGAACCCTCTACTCTAGACCCTAAACCCCACACCCTAAACCCTAAACCCCTCAACCCTAAACCCCGAACCCTAAACCCAAAACGCTTCCAGTGCCAAGACACCGAGACCCATCTGGCGACCAGGCCACGGCATCGACCGAAGCAGCATTACCCATCCTCGGCGAGGGTTTAGGGTTCAGGGTTTAGGGTTTAGGGCTTAGGGTTCAGGGTTTAGGGCTTATTTACATAAGGCTTAGGGGCTTTCGGACTTGAAGGCTTTAGGTTTCAAAGGGCCTTCGGGTTTGGGGCTCAAGGTTTGGGGGTAAAGGTGGTCTTGGGCATTGGGTCTTTCCAGTTCTGGTTACGGGGCTCCCACAAGGCTCCCCAAACCAAATGCCAAATCCGAAACCCTAAACCCTAAGCTACATAAGACCCTTAACGGACCCCCAGGGCCCTAGGGCCCTGGAAGGAACCCCTAAGCCAAGACCCTTCAAGGAACCCCTTATCGTAACCCTGATGGGGCCCCCCGCTTCAGCGTCGACAGCTCCGGCCAACTCCGTGCATCGCTCTGCGTGCAGTCCCAGATGCGGACGGTGGCATCCTTGCCTGGGTCAGATAGGTAGTTCTCTAAATTTGGTGTCAAATAGGTAGCTCTCTAAACTAGGGGTTTGAGGTAGTTCTCTAGATTAGGGGTTTGGGGTTTAGGGGTTTTCTCTGGAAGCCCAACAGCAGGCGGCACCCTTGCAAAAAGGTACCCTAAAAGGGACCCTAATTTGGAGAACTTCGCAAGCCGCTCGTGTCCAAACCCGAAACTGTAAACCCCAAACCGTAAACCCGCGACCACAAATCCCAAACTCTACGTAGGCTCAAGTGCGGATCATGGGCACGAACACGGCTTACAATAGCTTGCGCCCGGAAAGAACATGCGGGCTCAGGCCCTCGAATTCAATGCCACATGGGGGCTTCCGAAAACAAGGGACCCTAATATAGCACCCTTATTATAAGAATCCCAAATTAAGGTACCCCTTCTTTTCGGAAACTCCCACATAGTGACACCCACCTACATTCTCGGGCCTGGAAGTTTCACCATAGCCTAGGCCTGAGCCACCGGCAACCGCTTGCAAAGTGATTCCCGTCGGTCGTCCATGCGAGGGCCCTGTCCGGGGCTGGATGCTGATGCAGGCACTGAATCATGATGAAAATCATGGCTATCATCATCATAATGGTCATCATCATCATCATCATCAGCCGTAACACCCCATCATGATTTGGTGAGGTACTGCTCTTATCAGTTGTATTTGCAATAATCATCGTCGTCGGCGGCATCGGCGGCGGCATCGTCCGAGCACGAGGAGCACGAACAGCAGTCGTCGTCGTCGTGGTCGTCGTCTTAGCAGCAGTACTGCTGTGGATACTATAATTATTAGTATTATTAGTAATGTGATTAGGACTATTATTCTCTCATTCTTCACAACCATACTCGTGCCAGATGAGATCTTTCCACAGGTCTGCTTCCGATGATGCGCTGCCATAGGCAACGATACCTAGACATCCCCAAACCCCAAGGCCCCAGGCCCTCAACATCCCCCTGAACGCCAAGGCCCCTGAACCCTAAACCCTAGAAGCCCTAAACCAGAAACCCTAAGCCCCAAACCCGAAACCCGAAGCCCTAAACCCGAAACCCTGAGCCCCAAACCCGAAACCCGAACCCATGAACCCTAAACCCCTAACCCATGGACCCTAAACCCGAAACCCAAAGCCCTACACCCGAAACCCTAAGCCCAAAGCCCGAAACCCTAAGCCCTACACCCGAAACCCTAAACCCTACACCCGAAACCCTAAACCCTAAACCCAAAGCCCTAAACCCGAAACCCAGAACCCCAAAACATCCAGGGGGCTCGAAGGTCGGACTTCCCGACTCCCTGCACACCCAGCTCTGAAGCGCCTCCTCCCAAACCCCCAAAAACCAGACTGACCCTACATCCAAAAGGTTTAGGATTTTTGGGGCTTTAGGGCTTCAGGGGTTTTAGGGCTTTAGGGCTTTAAGGCTTTAGGGTTTATTAGGATGTTTAGGGCTTTAGGGCTGGGGGCTTTAGGGCTTTAGGGTCTTAGGGTTTAGGGTTTAGGGATTTGGTAAGCCCTGAAACTGAAACCCCTAAACCCGAAACTCTCAACCCCTGGAAGCCTCCACTGAAAGCCCAGACCATAACCAGGGGGGGGCCTTATGCCCGCCGTGTGCCGAAGGATAGCCACAAGCTGCGGAGGAGGTCGGGAGGTCGGGTTTAGGGTTTAGGGTTTAGGGTTTGGGGGTTGGGGTTTGGGGTTTAGGGTTTAGGGTTTAGGGTTTAGGAGGGAAAGTTGGGGATTTCTTGAACTGCGCCAGCTCTATGATGGGACTTTGCAGGGG